TAAAAACGACTTCCTATACATGGTCGTTTTTTTCCAGCTAAATAGTAATGGGATAGTCTCCAGCAACTCCCCGCGACCCTGTTCAGGATAAGCCGTGTTGAAAATGAATGGAAGAATACAGCATTTGAATTTTTTTTTTTTTTTGTTTCCTTTCAATATTTTTCAGAAGACAACAAAAGCTAATTTGAGGATCAAGGACTCCGGCCGTGCCTTTTTTGTTTTTACAGATGCCTGCCTTTCTGCTATTTTTGTTCACTAGAAAGAAAAGACTTCAAAACAGAGCAAATTTGTCTTTCATTTTTGAGAACATTTTCATCACAGTACAGTCTAGAAAAAAAGCAATGCATATTTTTACTCCCCCATGTCGATATGTCATATTAGTGTACATAACTGTAAAGTGGAATACAGTAATCAGTTGAAAATAAAGGCATGCTTGAAGATGAATGGCAGCGAAGACCTTTTGAACCTTGCACATGGAAGGCGGACAACGTGAGGAATTTTGTTTGTATTTTGGAAAAGAGGAAATGACACCGCTGGGTGAAGACATTCCATCATCGGAAAGAAGTTTCTCCGGGAGAGAACGCTGACACATAACAGCGATCTTGGCCAGAAAGTCAGTCTGTATTTGTCTTTGCAAATCACATTAAAGCAGTCCACTGGCAAAGGCAAAGTCTGCATCAAAAAAATACTCATGTTTCCTCACAGAGGTATTGAATGTAAGAAAGAGCTTTCATCCCAAAGCATTCTGGGAGTGGTAGTCCAGGTTAAGAGGTCCCGGAGCAGAGGAAGCGTTCCCTCGGGTCAGGCACGATGAAGCCCTCCTTCTGCTCGCTCTCTCGTCTGATGGCCATGACGAACGACTGCTTGGGGTCGATGACCGCCGCGCCGTCTCCGTCCACGCCCGGGGGCTCCACCTCGGCGTAAGAAGGGTGGCCTGAGCCGCGGCGGAACTTCATGGTGGGCCAACGGGCCGGTCGCCGCTGCACACAAGCACATGGAAGGTGTCGGGTGTTGAATTCAAACTGCGCTGACGCCATTTGTGACCTCAGTCCCCAAACTCGGTTTCCCACAGCGTCGTGAAATTTGGTCGGCATAGCTATCGGGAGTAGATGCACAAAAAAAGTTGCGTGAACCGTTCCCTGAAAACATGAAGGAATTCATTTTTGTGAGCAACGGCCATTTTCGAAACGTTTTGATGAAAATGTCTATTTGGTCCAATGCCTGGCATCCTATTTTAAAATTTGGCTATGAAGCAAATTTCACTTGTGGACATGACATTTGGTCGAAATGTCTGCCAGGAGTCGACTCAAACAAAATAGACTTAAGATGCCATGCTTGAAAAAAAACAGTCTTCCATTTTGATTTATGAAAGTGGCCATTTTAGAGTCCTTTTAGTGAGCATTTGCTATCTTTTTTTTTTCACAGCACTGCCAGGAATATTTGGAAGGTTCATCACCAAAAGCCAGTTTCCATCATGAGTTGACCCACAAAATTGTCCAATTAGCCCATGCCTGAAACAGGACATGAAGTCTGCCATTTTAGTCTTTTTTTCTGTGGTCCTTCACAAATGACCTTCTCCTGGACTTTTTGCCCAATTCCAATCAAATTAGGGCAAATCTAAGTGGAGAAACATTTAATAGACATCGCCATCTGCCTCGAACCGCGCGACCACACACACATGAGGAAGAAAGTGTCGATAATAAAATGAAATGAGATGTTTAGTCGTACAGACCTCCATGAAGAAGAGGCTGGCGGTCGACGTGGGGTGATTGTACACGTAGACGGACACCAGGATGCCCGTCACCATGACGACCGAGACCACGACCACGCCCGCCAGTAGACCCGCCTGCTCCCTTTGGCCCGTGTCCTCGTCCTCGCCGCCCGCTGTGAAAGCACACGTTTGGAAAAGTATTGTTATGACTGACATTCCTCATCTGTGCGAAATGCCCATTTTGGCGTCATCGACAAATGAGGGCATACATTCAACTCAATAACAGTTCTGATCAAGTTGGCCTTTTTCGCCAAACTAACAACACAAGAGAACATCACATTGACGTGGCGATCAACAATAGCCTCTGCGGGGGGGCTTCTAAATGACTGTCCTCCATGTTGTGAGCCAAGCGCATTGCGGCCGCACAGCCGCACATACGTTGAGGACACTATGCAGTATTTAACATGGCGCTGTATACACTCAACTATGTGCTAACAGAGTACTGGCAAATAGCTCAACAACCCCCCCCCCCCCCAAACTCACCGCACAATTACACACACACACACACACGTCTTAACATGAAAATATCACAACTAGCATGGTGTGATGATGATGTCCCACACAAAGAGGAAGCCCTGTAACTGGGGGTGCTAACCCCCTGCCAAAAAAAAAACCAAAATAACTATTTTTTGAAGTGTTGGGGAAAAAAAAAAATAAACATGCGAAAGTGTCAATCTGCAGGTGCGGAACCACATCTATATTGGGGTCCACTTTATCGAAGGTAAAAGTGATCATACGAGGTTGTAAGAGTAGCGATGCTCTCAAAACACTTTAGTTTGTTCCCTTGTATTCAGAAGCAAAGAAATGTTTGGTGGGGGTCTCTGAATTTAAAAAGTCAAATCAAATTGTGACACAGACCTGCAGGCGGGCCGGTGGAGGAAGAAGGGCCGGACGCGTCCTTCCCGCCGCTCCCCGGCGGCTGGTTTGCGGCAGGGGAGGTTTTGCCAAGAGGGACGGCGGTCGGGCCGGAGGTCTTCCGCTGCGCCGACGTCGCCGCCGACGCCACGACGGCGGTGGGCCCCGGCGTGAGCCGGCGCGATGATGTGTCTGTGATGTCGAGGACTCTCAGGCAACGGAGATCTCGTCTCTGGAGGTGGCACATGTAAGGCTAAAATATTCAGAGCACTTCCTTTTCCATCTTTCAGAGGATTTTGGTCAGTTTTTGGGGGTCACACTTGAGCTTCTCCTCAAAGCCTAATCACCACCAAATTTGAAGCGGGCGCTTTGTCCATTTATCGAGGGTGCTACGTCCCAGGCCACCACCGCAGTAGACGAAATCGGCCAAGTAGCAATAAAATACTTGCGCCACATATCACTAAAGGACGATGTGGCATTTGCGTAGCGTGTACCTCCGGCGCCACATTTTGAAGTATTGATGGGGCAACGGAGCAATATCGTAAAGGTGGATGTTCCCAAGTATTTTCCCCAAATAATCCCACGTCTCAACTAGCAAATGCCAACCTTGTCCTGGCATCCGTGGTCCACCCAGTCCTGGCGGTTCCGGTCAAAGCCGCTGGAGCATCTGGAACAAAACAAAATCCCCCCACCCGCCCCCACAAAAAAGGTTGACGTGGTGACGCGGATGGCGAGGAACGGTCCACATTCCCAAGGCCATGTGCTGTGTGTGCTTTTCCATCTGACCTCTGCAAGCGGGAGCACCAGCTGCAGTTGAAGCCAATCTGAGAAGTGACACACGGAGCACAGCTGGAGAACTGCAGGCACGCTGAGGACCAACACACACACACACACACACACACACAATCACAAATGGAAATCGTCTTTCCCATTGAAAGTGAACGGAAATCCAATTCATCTCCGTCAAGACTTTTTCACGCGGCATGATTTTCAGTGTTGAACTTTGGTTCGATTTTTTTTCTGAGTTGGCTTGACTTACTTGGGAGAGGGAGCATCTCTATCGTGGTGCCGTTGCAGATTTTGGACTTGAGAATTTCCACCTTGTGGTACTCATAAATGGTTCTCCGTCGCAAATCTGACAAATACAAGATCATGGGAAGTGGATTTTTTTTCTGGGGAGGGGGTGGGGCGGGGTAACTACGTCATCTGATGAGTGTGTATTGGCAAAAAAAAAAAAAAAAAAGGGACAGATATGTGACTTGATGTGGTTTGTTGCAAATGGGTTTCAATCTCACGACTTTGACCTTTGGTGATCTATTTAAGGCCAAGGCCTTAAGGTTCCGTTGCTTTGCTTTTTGTCAAGATAAAGGGGGTGGGGGGGGGGCAACAAACGTCTTATCTTTGTGCTGGCAAGATAACAACCCCCCCAAAAAAAAAAAAAAATCATGTGTGAGCAAATGACAAAAGCCACCACGGCGAGTCGTACTCACTCGGGATCTGCTGGATCTTGTGAAGCACCACGAAAGCGTCCGACAGGCCCACTTTGACCGGGTGATTCTCACTGCTGATGTCTCTGATGTCAACAGGAATCTACAAGGGAGGGGAAAAATGCTGCTTCAAAAAAAAAAAAACAAACTCAAGGAAAAGAAGATGAAGATGGCGCTCACCTCTCTGTAGGCGAAGACGATGCGGCCGTCGCTGTGCAGAGCAGCTTGGAAGGTGAACGCGCCCGATTGGGGCTTGTCCTGCAGGTGGAGGCGCGTCCACTGCACCACCAGGGCGGAACCTGGCACGGTGGCACCGCACGGCACAAGCAACACATTTTATAGCGAATGCAGAAGACAGAGGGCGATCATTTCCCCCCCCCCCCCCCCTCCTAAAAACGTGTGCGCATGACTGGATGAACACTGACATAACACAGGAATCATTTTCCACGTGAAAACTCAATCATACAAAAGTCATCTGTACAAAATAAACGTGTTTCAAATGAGACGGGTTTTCCATATCAAAAACGTGACGTCCAAAATGCAAATGACATGGATTTCTAAATACATTTCCAAACTAAAACAGATTTGTGTCAGACCATCCATTCGAATCCTAAAGAAGCGATCTTCTCACCGTTATCAAAGTAAAAGACGGAGGCGTCGCCGGAGAGGGCGGGGTCGAAGTCGGCCATGAGCGGCGCGACGTACTGGGTGGCCGTGAGCAAGCGGTGGATGAGCTCGCCGGTGGAAATGAAGCCTGTCCGGGGAAACGATCCACTTCTTTGTACTCTTCACAGAAGCCGGACCTCACGAAGCGGGCCGGTTGGGGCGAGTATACTTGCCTCCGGTTGCCACGGTGACTTCCTTCAACGTGTGACCGTAGAACGGAAAATCAAAGGAAAGATTCACTCTCTGGAAGAGACGCACGCGTCACCGTGTCAAAAGAGCGACGGCATTTTACGTGCGCGACGAAGATGTCGTACCTCAGCTCGGCAGCGCGCGGCGGACAGGAAGCCGGAGGTCTTCCACTCGTCCTTGTTGGCCAGCTCCGTGTTGACCCACGCGTCTGCGGCCCCCGCGTCGCCGGGCCCGATGATTTTCGACGTGTAGTAGACGTGATCCATGTTCTGGCCCAGATGGAGGAAATGAATCATGATCAACAATAACTTGCTATTTCTCAACATGGACTCCAATTTTTCCAAATTTGATACGCCACACCGAGGGGGGGGTTAGGGTTACAACGAGGCACTCTCGAGCGGCCACACCATGAAAATACTCCCAACTCCTTTGATAGGGTAAACTCATTTGTGGATGTCATTTCCTATGAAATGAATGTTCCTGCTGATATCGTAGTGAGGAGCCAGACGCTTTCCTGTGTCGCCATGAGCTCCATTTTTCTGTTCTAAAGTCTTGCAGGCGGGGGCGGGGGGCACAATCTCCGTGGAGTTGTCATGCCCCTCCTCCAACAGGTCCGATTCTTCCGGGCGGTGCCGGTCCCCGGAAAGGCCGCCGGGATCCGCGGCCCAGCCGGGGGTCTGGGACGTGGGCCTGGACGGCCACCTCTTCCCCCTGTTCTCACTCTCGGGGGGGTTGGGAGGGCTTTCCGTGTCAGTTGATGTTGCCTGGCTCGAACCTGAGAGTGCAAACACAAGACATTACTGCGCTTTGTGTCTGTGTGTGTTTTACAAACGTAGCAAGAACGTGATAGGTCTGGCCATTCAAAAAAAAAACATCTCGAAAAACTCCAAAGTCAAGTCGGTTGTATCTCAAGGCGCCGCTCTCCATGAACGCGCGTGATCCGTGGAAGCGTCATTCACGCGGAGGCCCACATGCTTCGCTCACGGCCATCACGCCGCTGCCGGTGGGGGACTCACTTTGCTCTTCGCAGACCAGGGGGAAGAAGGCAGACTGCGCACATTCTTCACACCAGCAATGCGGGGCACCCATGGGTGCTGCTGCTGCTGCTGCTGCTGCAGTCGTGGGTTTGTCACATGCTAAATCATCAATGAGCTACTGTTTGTGGCCAGGCAGTGCTTGAATTGCACTGTGACGTGGAGGCTTGAAGGAAAACAGGATGCATTATCGTGAAAAAAAAAAAAGTTGCATTTCATCATTTGTAGCCTTCTTATAGAGCACGTATAATATAAACAATCATGGTTCATAGTTTTGTGAGTTGAATTCATGTTTATGGATTTGCATAGAATTTTAGTACATTGCATTTTTTAAATGAAACACAACATGAATGACTGACTGATGAGGGGGTTGTCACTAATATTTGCAAAAGTTTGAAAATCGATGGCTTTTCATATTCACGCCCTCATACGCATTTGAATATTTATGTATTCATGATAAAAACGAAGCTCTGTGTGTTTTGATTTATTTTTATACAGCTAATAAATTGTTCACATTTGGGAGTTTTGTACATTTCTACTCACGAGTGAAAACAAAATGAATGCGTGTTACATTGAAGTATTTCAAATCTAAAGTTAACTTACCTTAATACAATTACACGCATTCGAGATGCGTTTTCAATCAATGCCCAAAACAGCTGGTAAAGGGTGACGGCAAATACAATCAAAGTTTTTGGGGGGTGTCATTTTTTTTTTCCAATCACATTAAAAAGTGTAGCGTACATGAAAAATAAATGCTGAAGAGTTGTACAGTATAACTTACCAAAAGCAGATCTTGGCGTCACGGAATTGACTGGAAGCTGGAAAACAACCAGCAGTCCCATTACAACACGAAGCGTCTTCATTATGTTCTCTTAAACAAAGGTGGGTTGGGTTTTTTTTTTTTCTTCTTCTTCAATGTCAAGTTGAAGTCCCGGACAAGAAAGCCAATTTCGCAGCGACTTGTTTAAAATGTCAAGACCTCCAAAGTGGCGGCAAAGCAGCTGGCTGCCACCTTGATCGACACAAGTGACAAGCGAGGCAACGGGAGGTCTCGCGCTTGACTTGATGAACGCTTGGAAATGTCAAAACCTGCTCACCCAAAAGTAGACGTTTGTCTTGTCAAAAAATGGTGCTACGGAACTACGTTTTCGTTTTCCCAATGGGGGTTTAAAAACCTGATTAACAATGAAAAATCGAACGCAAGAGAACCTGTGCTGCCGTAAGCCGAAGAGGAAACCAAATTCCCACGGTTGAGTTGAACTGTAGTTTGACTTTTAGCCACTAGACGGCCATGTGACACCAGCGCACTAAAAGCTGCTGTGAAGCGCGAGCTGTTGACGACTGGACGGACGCAGGACGTCGCCTTCCCAATCTCCGAAGCAGGAACTCGTCACTCGCACTGCGCGCCGAGTCACGTCGTGGCTCTTTTCAATTCTTTCGACCGATGGAGACCGCAGAGGTTTTTCCATTTGTTTTGAGGTGATGGCCTACATGTGATTTGGACACAATTATGCACCGGAATAAGGACTTGAAATGCCCTACTGGTATATTTCAGACCAAAAAAGTTGTTCATATATTTCCATGAAAATGTAGATCAAACATTTTTTTAAATGTTGAAGAAAAGCAGAGTGGTATTTGAAGTTCATTCGGAGAAAAAGTTCATTTCATCAATTTGGAAAATGTACATTTTAAGAAAGTTAAGGGTGGGGGAAGGATGCTTCAGAGTTATGTTTTAGTTTATAAAAGTTGGATATTTTAAGGAAGCTGTACTATAGTTTAATATATAAGGGGGAAAAAGTCAATATATTGGAGTCACAAGAGAAAGTTCTAATGAATGACAAAAAAAAAAAAAAAAAAACCCTAAACGCATATTTTACAAAAATAACACTTAGGAATAACGGTACATTTTACAAATACAGTGTCATACATTTTAGGAGAGCATCCATCCATCTTCAACACCGCTTGGTCAAGCTTGCAGGTTATGCTCTTATGGTTGAGAACATCATTTATGAGATGCAAATTGTTAGCGGAAAAACAGCAATATAGTTGAGAAAGTATAAAAAAAAATCTGTCACTTTTCACAGAAATTTAGATGTTTTTTATGAGGAAAAAGTTGAAGACTTTAGAATTGCCGACGTTTGCATATTCTATGGGGGGGGGGCTGAATATGCTGGTCATTTTATTAGGAAAAAGTATATTCCTGTGAAAATAGTTTATTAGTATGGTACTGTATCCCGGTAGTTTACATTTTCAGAGAAAGTGTCCTATCGTGTTCCATGTTATATGCTGCTTTAATAATAATCATGTGTTTGGTGCTCAAATACAGCAGACAGTTGATAATCAATTTCACTTTTTAATGATGGGCGGGGGGGGAACCTGCAGCCTGTGGGCCATATGCAAAAATCATGATCGAGCTCTTCAGATTTCCTGAGGACAACAACGTAGGCATCCATATGGTGAACTCATTTTGAATGCAAGAACACAAGCGTGGGACGACTTATATTGGTTGCCCGCGGAGGAAACTAAATGCGCTAACAAAGACACTCGAGTTCCCGGAACGACACGAGTGGAGCTTCAGTCAAAGCTGTCAAATGCATTTGGCATTGATCTACGGCTAATCGATGGCACTGCGGAATGACAAAGAGCTGCTCTTGATACTGTATTCTGTTTAGATGGGCACCTGAGTTTGAAGTCAATTTTAAATACAAACCCTGCTCCACTATATTATCCAGTTGACAAACACAAGAATTGTTGGACGGTGCGCGTCAGATCATCAAGGCGTGGGAGAACATTGATGACTGTAAAGGCCCCTGACGGCAACTTCATTTGTGGCGGATGAGGTCGAAGTGAGGGAGGCGGGGTGGGTGGGTGGTTGGGGGCTCGGGGATAAAATTATAACGAGAAAAACACTCAAAAGTCAATGAGTTCCACATCGAAAAGCAGAGTGGCGTTGGGTGGGATGACGGGAGGGAACCCCCTGCTGCCGTACGCATAGTCCGGTGTGCAGGTCAAGCGCGCCACCTGCCCCTTGCTCATCTGGAAAACAAAATGGTTGACGTTTGACATCGCGGAGGAAATTCTCCTTGCGGACGCATTTGGCATTGAAGCTGGAGGACTTGGGGTCATGAGAGTTAGGGCTGGTCAAACATATCCACTGAAACTCAATCATGTGCAAATGGAACAAAAGATTTTCAAGACAGCGGTGCAGTATTGTGTGTTTCAACAAGGAGAAAAAGGCACTAATATTGTACTCCATAGAAACACAGCACCTTAACTGTTCCATACAATGTTAGGAATTCAATCGCTTTTGCTGAAAAACATGATGAATAAATACGGTGGCGACAGTAAACAGTTGAATTCCACTCGACAAAGACCATTTTGTGGCTTTCAACTTTAGACCAGTAAACTGTTGATTCTTGTACATGAAATGTTGCCTGCACTTTTTTTTTTTTAATGGTGTTGCCATTTTCCTCTCCAAACGGAACTTTGCATGCTCTCCCTGTGCTTTGGTGAGTTTTCTATGGCTTCGTCCTACACTCCAAAGCCGTGTATTCTAGATTCGTTGAAGACGAGATCGTTGAGAGATGGCCATTTGTTTTTCCTTACCTGAGCTACACCTTCATCCCAACCACGAATGACCTGCCCATGGCCGAGCTTGAAATTGAATGGCTTTCCTCGGTCCCGGGAGGAGTCAAACTTCTCGCCGTTTGGCAGTGTGCCTAGATCACAATGACGACAGCATTTCAATTATGTCAAGGTTTGCTATCGAAGATAGAGGTGGGGGCGGTCGGCATCTAATGTCCGCTGGCGATGCATTGTGGGTAATCCAAAGAGCTTGAGCCACTCGAGCCATTCCCTTTCCATACAATTGCGGTTAATAATTGTGAGTATTATCTGCATGATTGTAATACAAGTACATTGAAAATAAAACAGCAGTCATTTCTTAACCCGTTTCGATAAATCTTACTTAGTCAAGGTCAAAACATTTACTACTCATGCAGAACATTTGATGAAAAAAAAAAAAAGGCTTTCTACAGATTTTGCCTCCACATTTAATTACTTTACATCCCGATTTCAGTGTTCGCGCAGTCCGCCAGCACGGGGTGCACTGAAACAGTTTTGCCGTCACTATTTTGAGCGGGGAGAAAGCAGCCAGCTCAAAGCGGCGTTTCGTATCCACCTGTCATTTTCCCCATTTCCCAAAATGGCGGGGTGAATGTGCGCATGCGCAGGAAGGCAGCTTTGCTTTCCGCGAGCTCGATCGCGTTAGCTTGTCGTTCATTTTAATACATTTAGACTGACGCAATAATAGAAAAGCCTATCGCTTAAGAGGAACACTTGAATCAAATGCTGAGCGCCTTGCCAAGTTTCATGACTAGAAAATGCACAATCCTTTAAGATAGTAACAAAATGACACACCGCTCGCTCGCCATTCAAAACTAAGCACTAAAATATTTCAATAAAATACACAAATATTTGCGTAAAGTACATTTAATAAGTCAGATACTGCCAGGCCGCGTGGTCTCATAGCAAGTGGGGCGTAAAAAAGCGATTTTTCTTTCGGGGAGCGGAGGTGGGAAAACAATAGGAGCTCACCGACGTAGTGCACGGTGACGTTCTGGCCTTTCTTCGGAAAGTTGACGCCTGAAAAGACAAAAGCGGCCATTAAGAATGTCTTTCTTCCTCCACATCTAGTGGAAGAAAATACCCGATTAAACGTTATTTTACCGTCTCCTGGCTTGATGACGTGAACGGTAACACCCATTTTCGCGAGAGTAACTGGGCCCTGTCTGTCACGCTCGCCGGGGCGGTGGTCGTGTGGGCTGACGCTTCCGGTGGATCTGCTCTTTCTCGCCTCGACAGCGCCCCCGTGGGCACATTAGTGACACCTATAGTCCGGAGTACGAATTACACCTAGATGCGTTCGTCCCAGAGAATCGAGAGATTACGAAACTGCTCCGATGGTGAGCCGTCAGTGGCGGTCTGGTTTCAGAAGAATGGCAAATAAAAGTGGCTTCAAGCTGTTTATTGCATTGTCGCCAGTCATCTTCATCCACTTTGTGGCACTCCAACCCACACGGAGAAGTCAGCGCAGCACTTGGTCATTCTGGCGGCATTGCGGGGCCGTAGTTAGCACGTCTCTCTCACAGAACTGCAGTTCACATCCCTGCGTTTGTATCTTAGATTAACTGCCAAAACTGAATTGCCAATCGGTGTGAATGGTCGTTTGTCTAAATGTGCCTCGTGATTGGCTGGCAGCCAGTCAAGGGTGGAACGGAAAGTCAGCCCGGGCTCCGGCTCACCCATGATGCGTGATAGAAAATGGATGGATCGGAGTCATTTAAAAGACACCAAGAGTTCTTCAGCTTGCATTTTATATACAGCATATGTAAAAAAAACGGGACAAAATATTCCAATTCAGGAAAAAGCAAGTAAGTTCTATCATATTTAAGATGCCTTTCATATTTCAAATAAATGCACCTCGAGAGCTAACAGATAAATCATATGGAGCACACACAACCAAAACAGGTATATCTTTTATCATAAAAGCTATTTCTTCTCCACATACTTTCACATCATTGAAGTGGGCAACGAAACAAAAATAAACGGATATTGATGCTAGGCACTCGTTGAATCAGTGGCGCTTTGACTTGAAGAGCCCTTGTACAACTTGTTAAAGAAGGACATGTGAGACACACTGCCATGCTCCGTGCCCTGTAAGGAAACGCACATTTATATTTTAGGATCATTGCGGCTCACAACTTCACAGAATCGAAACTATTCTGATCAAATGACTTACATCTATTTTGCAGTCATAGAGGTCAAACGCGGAGTTCTGACTGCGCACGTCGTTGCTCGTCGCGGACGACCTGCTCCAGAGAAACGAAACATGATTAAGATAATGTTTTGAGTCATACATATTTTCATGAGTAGGAATCAGCCATACTTTGCACAGTTCTTCCAGCGTAGTCGAATGAGGAAGATGAAGATGACGACTCCAGCAAAGAGAGTCAGACCCACGGCCAGGCCGATAGACAGCATATCTGCACAAAGAGAAAACCCCCGAAATTTTAAAATATGTACACACACGCGCACACGCACACAATATATATATTGAGCATGCCATTGTTAACCTGGTTTATCGGCAGGCTCAACGATAGGGTTGGCGTGACAGGGTCCATGGAAAATGGTGATGTCATCAAGGGCAACATCCCCACCTGCGATCTCCCCCTTCTGATACACAAACACAAACTGGGGGGGCACAAAATAATCATGATTTAGTAGAAGATCGTTCGTGTGCAAACAGCCATTCCATAAAGGGTTACCTTTCAAATTCTTACCCAGAATGCATGGTCGTGCTCAACAAACACACTGGCCCGCAGCCACTTGTCGCCCTTGTTTCCAATCGCGTCCCACTTCTGAACACCCTCCTTGTTGCCGCTGTCATATGTTTTTCTATCAAACAATTCAAATCCATGAGCAATCAAGTTACAGTGCCAGGAAAGGCTGCTCCTCTTCTACCTGTCATTCACGTAGACTCGAAGGGTCCCAACATCCGGACCGAACATGTGGTACCAAAACCTAAGACAGTGCCCTCTCGTGGCCGGTTGGAGCATGTCACCGACAAGGAAGGAGGTGTCGCCCCACTCTCCCACCGAGCTGTCCACAAAGAGATAGTAGCCTGAAGGAAGAAGGTGAAACCATCAAGCCCCGCTGGATGAATGCACCCCAACCAAAGAGTCTCCGTGTGACCAACCGTGCGGCATGTTTGTGGTGTGATCCACACCGGGTCCCGTATTCGGGGTTGGGGAGGCTCCACTGCCACGGAGCCAGTCGTCCTCGTCCACTCCTCCGCCGACGTTGCTCCAGCCGCACATGTTGAGCTCAAAGTCGCAGGCGTCGTGCGGGGGACACTTGGCGTCAGACACGTGGATGTCATCGAAGGCAACGTCCCCCTCCAGGGTGGGACCGGCCTTCACGCCCTCCACCACAAGCTGAAATGTAAAGAAAGACACTCAATGGCATCAAAAACAATCAACCAAAAAAAATCTGCCTGCACGTTCGATTTCTGATGCGAGTCACCCTGTACGGTTGGACCCGGGGCAGAAGCGCCGCCTGGGCGAACCTCCACAGGCTGCGTTGGTTTCCCGCCTGGGAGAAAATCAGAGCGCGTTGCCCATCTTCGCTTTGCTGATAAACGTTGAGCGTGCCGACGCCTCTGCCGTGCATGTGGTACCACAGCTGGACGCAAGCTCCTTTTCCTGAAAGAGTTTGGAAAAGCATTTGTTGGCTGGGATTCAAGCTCCCTGATTTGAAGACTTAAGGACTCACCCGGGGGGTACGCAGGTGACAACATGGCAGCGGTCTGACCAGCGATGTCCTGGCTGGAGGAGGGCAGGTAGTAGTAGTGGCCCCCGGGCGTGTTGCTGGTGTGGTCGCTGTCGGGGCCCGTGTTGGGGTTTGGGGTGGCCCCTGACGCTCGGGTCCAGTCGGCGTCGTCGTCGCTCTGCTGTTGCCAGTTGCAGCTCCCCTCCTCGAAATCACACACCTCTACAAAGGACATTGATGTCTCTTTTTACACCTACGTACGTGAGATAAGGCGCGTGTATGTTTGTCCTTATGGAGGACAAGTGGTCACTGATGCAGTACAGTTCGGACCCGCGACAAAGCCGCAGCGGGAGTTATGTTGCATCGCAACAAAGTGCACCATTGAGTGAATGACTTGATTGTTGCAATCTCCACTTAAGAGCAGCGGTCATCATGAAAGAAATCCAAAATATTCATGACATTGGCAAAAAAACAACCCAAAAGCCATCACCAGAGGCGGGGCAGGCTCCGGGGACGAGCGAGATGTCGTCGACGGCGATGTCGCCCGCCTCGCCTCCCACGCTCGCCTCCACGATCACCTGGTGGACTCGCGGCAGGGTCACGTGACTCTGCGCCGGCCGCCACCGGTCCCCTTGGTTTCCTGATTTTTGCCACACCTACAGGAAAGACGGAGGGCTGAGTCACTCCCTGCAATGAGGATGTGAGGAGAGATTTGTGCAACACCATAGTATGCACCGAAACTGCACAGAGCACAAATCGCAGCTCTTTTGTAACCCGGCTGTTTCACAACCGGGATAAAAGCATAACGCAGAGAAAGTCGATGGCTTCTGGATATTTCTCAATCCGCACCGCAGTAGAGGGAAGTCATGCAACTCACCCCCCCCCAAAAAAATCATAATAAAAGCTGAGATTTGCTCTCTCAATGTGCAAACCCCAAATCCAATGAACATTGTGTAAAATGGTGATTCAAAACAAGACGACGGTATAATGATTTGCAAACGATTATCCGCTAACATTCAATGGATTACGCAATAAAGTACATCTCTCGTCCGGCGCGTTTTACCAGCGTTTTCTCCATTGACTCGGCTGTCAGGAGGAACACTCGCAAAGAACCGACCGTGGCTCCAAACATGTGGTACCAGAACATGAGACAGTATCCCTGTTGAAGCGCAGGCGGGAGCAGCGCGGACTTGAGCTGGGCAACCTCACGCTTTGCGCTGGGAAGGGAGCTCTCCATGTACATGTATTTCCCTGTTGGCACAACAACAATCGAGTGCGTGCGTATGAAATCAGCACAGAGTTCAAATTGATGCGCCGTACCCATCGGAGTCGGTGTTTCTTCCGTGATACGTACGGCTGGAAGGTTTGACTGCGGGGGTGGGAAAAGTACGGCCCGCGGGCCATTGACAGCCCGCTCTATTCGTTAATCATTGATGCGATCGAGACTCATCCGGTATTTGTTGAATTGGCTCATCGGGGTTTTCCTTAAATGCTTTTAAATAAAAATGTATTCAATCATTTTTATATGGATTGAAATGAATAGCATGTTCATTCGTGTAAAAATTAAAAGTGGCAAAACAAAGTTTCATTCTATATACGTTGGATTTGAAAATAATTGTGCTGAATGAAATCATTGATGAATTCATTATTTTGAACTAATCAAATGTAAAATTTGAGAATTGATGACTTTTTGATGAATTAAAATAGACAATTGGACATCTTTTATCATATATCTTTTTTTTTTTTTTTTTTAATCTTCTCCACATGAGCTGGCATTTCAGTCCCTTTTAAAAAAATCGATCTTGAGCACAAAGGTTTGCTCAACATTCTTTGATGGTGTCAAAATCACCTTTTCCCGTCGTATGGTCCCCCGCAGGGCCGGTGTGGGGCGTGTCCGTCGGACCCGACCCGCTGAGCCAGTCCAGCTGGTCATCGGCCGCCTGCGTCCAAACGCAAGGGCCGTCTTCGAAAGTGCAACTGAAAGCGGCGAGGGCTGAGGAGAAGGTGGCAACAAAAAAAAAAAGTCAAGACTCCACCTGCGTGTTTCAAGATGAAGACTCGCAGTTCCCAAGAGTCGATTACCTGGCGGATGGAAGCTTTGGTCGCAGTTGTGAAAGGAGACGTCGTCCACAGCAACAGCGCAAGCATCGGTGGCGCTGGCAGCGTCTCCCTGAGAGCCATTATTCCAGCTACTAAATACAACCTGAGAAAAAGCGAGCATTTATACAACTTGATTTGAGGGCTGCAGATGAAAGTGCATCTTTGAAATCATAAAAGAAAGGGAAATATTGTTGAAATGTTGATCTTGCGGAAGCCACAATTTGACTACATTCACTCTCAAATATGAAATGAATGACGACCTGATGTTTCATGTAAAACTCACTTAGCGGAAACAAACTTTGCTTCATGATGACGGCAACAAAATGTTATTTTTCACGGAATCAAGATGTCACTTATTTTGCGCTGATGTCTTTTAACCGTGTGCTGTAAATTGTATCGTGAAATGTGTGCATTTCGGATCTTGGATCGCAA